CAGCTTGTCCCGAATTCTTATCAGATCGTTGCTGGCTTCATCATTCCTTACCATGGCATGGGGGTCACCCCTTCTGTGAATCTGTTCCTTCAATTCTTTCGGCTCTCTCCCAGCGGGCAAACAGGTTACCTTAACATTGTGGCCCGTCTGTGGAGAGTCCTCTTCTCCAACAATCCCCCGATTCCGAACGGCTGGGAGGAGAGGTTCTTTCTCTCCGAAGTTGGGTCACCTCTTCCTTTCTCTGACCGGTGGAATGCTTTCCCGGTCAAGTTTGAGCCTCCGACCCTGAGCTCGGTCGAGCTGGGGCAAGCCGCACATATTGCAGGCGAGGGGGTCCAAAACCTGCGTTTGCTGGTGAATGATACCAATCTGAACAAGGCCGACATAGGTACGTCCTCGCTGCAGCCCGGGTTTCGGACCTTCATGCCATGATTTTTAGGTATCGTTCTGACTTTTATATTTTTCTTGTGCAGGTCTTTTCCCCAAGTCTCCCATCATGGTTTCTCATGGCGGCACCCCTCCTATCTCAGATCGGGCCGATGGGGGGTAAGGGGAAACAGATCGTGGACGATGACCCCAGCTTGAAGAGGCCCAAGGTTGAAAGCCCTATTGGGGACGAGCGACTGCCCAAAAAGCCCCGTCATGAGGAGGGGTCTTCAGAGGCTGTGGTGGTCCTTGATGGGTCGGACGATGAAGCCACCTCCCCCAGCAGGAAGCAGCCCGCTACTTCGACAGGTAAGATGACATGTGTTCCCCCTCAACCCCGTTCTGAAGACTCTTTCTCTGAAATCATTGAGTTCTCCGGGCTTGGTCCCCGTGCGGAGTCGAAGAAGTTGTTTGGTCCGACGGCCTCCTCCATATGGTGTTCTTTGGGGTTGAGAGTTTCCCGTGATTTTGCTGCCCGTGAGAGCTCGGTAGGCCTTCAAGAGTGTTGCCTTAGTACTCTCAACAAGGCTGTCATTTACTTCTGCAAGGCGTGGTTCGCCTACGAGGCACAGGATCGCGCCTCTACCAAGGTGCATTGTGAAGCCGAGGACCTTGTGAAGAAGGCTAAGGAGCGTCTGAATAAGATGCAGCAAGAGTTGAACGTCGCCATTGGCCTTGCCAAGGAGAGTGCCTCTTGCCAAGAGATGGTCAAGAAGCAAGCCGAGGAGCTACAACTGCTTCGTGCCAAGATGGCCACCGTGGAGAAGACTGATGTGCAGCTTCGCCAGGTTGGCGTGGAGGGGGTCGTTCCTGTCTTTGAGGCCGACGTTTCCAAGATCAAGAATGCCGGATCCATCGGGTTTCAGAAATCCAAAGCCTATGTTGATGTTGTGGACGTTCGCGCGAAGAGGCATCTCGCCCAGAATCTTGGTGAGTACTTGGCCAAGTGCCCCGACATGCTGCAGGACGGCATAGAGTTGATATCGAAGACTCCCACGGGTCGGGATTTCCTTGAGGAGCTTGTTGATGATTCTTATGACAAGGGGATGATCGGCCTTGTGGCGGGCAATCTTCCGGCTCTTGAGCGTTATCTCCCTGTCCCCTTTAACCCTGAAGCTGCTGGATTCAATGCTTCTTTTGTTGGGGCTTATGAGGGGGCTTTGAAGCTTCTCCAAAAGAAACCTCAGGGGGGAGAGGAGGGGAAGGGCGACCCTTCTTCGTAGTTGAGGGAGTTTATTAGGTTCTGCAGCCCTGTTGACCTTCTGAACTCCATTAACTGCTCCCTAATCATCTTGCCATGAACAATCCCTCAGACTGGATCCTGGTGAGACTTGTAGAGGTCAGGGCATACTCCCTTGCTTGGGTAATAAAACATTACAACTTTCACTATGTTCTAATTCTGATTTCACTCTGAACTCGTGTATGATATGTACTTTCCGGCCGGTAGAGCTGGTGAATAAAATGTAGCACCTTATTGCTATGATTGTCTTCTCTCTCTTGAGCTTTCGCTCTTTTTTTTTTATATCCGCCCTTGAGCCCGGTCCTTGGATCCTGGGCCTGAGCTGAGTCGCCTAACATGGTGAGGAACGGCTCTTTCCCCTTTGGGGATTCCTTAATTGTTATTCTACCATCCGTTCGTCGTACCCGCCTCTTAGCCCGGTCTTTTGGATCATGAGCTTTGAGTTAGATCGCCGGTTTTGGTGAGGAACGGCCTGATACTATTGGAGATATTTTGCTTGACCCTCTCGAGAGCCTTTTGTTTGATCCTCTTGACATTCTTTTGTTTGATCCTCTTGGGATTCTTTTATTCTTCGTTCCGTCATCCGCCCGTTGTACCCGCCCATTTGGCCTGATCGTCGGGATCCTGAGCTGAGCTAGGTCAACGTAGTCTGTGAGGAACGGTTTTATCCCCTTTGAGGATTTTTTGTTTGATCCTCCTAGGCTTCTTTTATCTGATCCGTCTTGGGATTCTTTTATTTGATCTGACTTGGGATTCTTTTATTTGATCCGACTTGGGATTCTTTTATGTGATCCGACTTGGGATTTTTTTATTTCTATCCGACTTGGGATTCTTTTATTTTGTCCGTCATCCACTCGTCGTACCTGCTCGTTTAGCCCGGTCCTTTGGATCCTGAGCCGAGCGTAGCCAACGTAGTCAGTAACGAACGGGTTTCTCCCCTTTGGGGATTCCCCAGCCCGTATATAATATATCTATTATAATTTAATTTTTTTGGGCTTATCTTTGTTTCGCCATCCGCTCGTCTTACCTGCCCATTTGGCCCTGTCCTTTGGATCCTGAGCTGGGCTCGTCCACGATTGTGATGGGAAACGGGTTTATCCCCTTTGGAGATTCGCCATTTCTTCGTTCCTCCATCCGTTCATCTTACCTGCCCATTTGGCCCGGTACTTTGGATCCTGGGTTGGGCTCGGCCGCAATTGTGACGGGGAACGAGTTTATCCCCTTTGGGGATTCCTCTGGGGGGTGGGGGCTCGTATCATTTTGATGATAACAAAATATGATAACGGTTTTAGCGTGGAAACCCGGAAAGGGAAAACCACGGGACTTTTTAGGCTAATGTCCAAGCCCTCTCATTCTTATTAACCTCTCCTCACCATTACAATGTGTAAGTTAGGGCCTCCCTTCTTCTTCTCTTTGTTTTGGGAGGACTTGTAGGTGAGCTTACTGATAGAATTTCTTCAGGTGCTCGACGTTCCATATGCCAGTGGGGCGTCCCTGCTACCGCCCGTTTGTCGTAGACTTTGTACGACCCTTCCCAGTTTTTGGCCATCTTGTCACCTTCGAGCGGCTTGCTCTTTTCTCATTTTCTTAGCACCAAATCTCCGACCTTGATTTCCCTGACTTTAACCGCTTTGTTGAAATGCCTCTCAGTTGCCCGATGGTATTCCTCCATGCGCCGTGCGGCCAGGTCCCTCCTTTCTTCAATGAAATGCAGCTCGGCTCGCAGGTTCTCGTTTTGCTCCGGCTCGAAGTGCAACGTCCGATGTGTGGGTACAAGTACCTCGGTGGGGACTTTGGCCTAGAAGCCGTAAGTCAGGGCGAAAGGAGTTTCCCCGGTCATTGTCCTCGGGGTTATCCTGTACGTAAGACAATCGCGGCCGAGCCCAGCTTAGGATCCAAAGGTCCGGGCCAAATGGGCAGGTAAGACGAGCGGATGGCGAAACAAAGATAAGCCCAAAAAAAATAAATTATAATAGGTATATTATATATGGGCTGGGGAATCCCCAAAGGGGACAAACCCGTTCGTCACTAACTACGTTGGCTACGCTCGGCTCAGGATCCAAAGGACCGGGCTAAACGAACAAGTATGACGAGCGGATGACAGACAAAATAAAATAATCCCAAGTCGGATCAAAATAAAAGAATCCCAAGTCGGATCAAATAAAAGAATCCCAAGTCGGATCAAATAAAAGAATCCCAAATCGGATCAAATAAAAGAATCCCAAGACGGATCAGATAAAAGAAGCCCAGGAGGATCAGACAAAAAATCCCCAAAGGGGATAAAACCGTTCCTAACAGACTACGCTGACCTAGCTCAGCTCAGGATCCCGACGACCGGGCCAAATGGGCGGGTACAACGGGCAGATGACGTAACGAAGAATAAAAGAATCCCAAGAGGATCAAACAAAAGAATGCCAAGAGGATCAAACAAGAGGATCTTGAGAGGGTCAAGCAAAATATCCCCAACAGAATCAAGCCGTTCCTCACCAAAACCGGCGATCTAACTCAAAGCTCAGGATCCAAAAGACCGGGCTAAGAGGCGGGTACGACGAACGGATGGCGGAATAACAATCAAGGAATACTCAAAGGGGAAAGAGCCGTTCCTCACCAAGTTAGGCGACTCAACTCAGGCCCAGGATCCAAGGATCGGGCTCAAGGGCGGATATTTAAAAAAGAGAGCGAAAGCTCAAGAGAGAGAAGACGATCATAGCAATCAGGTGCTACATTTTATTCATCGGCTCTACCGGCCGGAAAGTACATATCATACACGAGTTCAGAGTGAAATCAAAATTACAACATAGTGAAAGTTGTCATGTTTTATTACCCAAGCAAGGGAATATGCCCTGACCCCTACAAGTCTCATCAGGATCCGGTCAGAGGGATTGTTCATGGCGGGATAATTAGGGAGCAGTTAATCGAGTTCAGAAGGTCAACAGGGCTGCAGAACCTAACAAACTCCCTCAACTACGAAGAAGGGCCACCCTTCCCCTCCTCTCCCCCCTGCGGTTTCTTCTGGAGAACCTTCAAAGCCCCCCCATAAGCCTCAGCAAAAGAAGCATTGAATCCAGCAGCTAGGGGTGGGTTCGGTTTATGCGGTTCGGTTTTATCCTAAAACCAAATGTAGAATCAAACTAAAAACTTCGGTTCGGTTCGGTTCGATTTGTTCATACTTTTTTGTCCAACCACGGTTTTATCGGTTCGGTTTTGTTCGGTTTGACTCCGGTTTTTTCGGTTTTAAACTAAAAAGACACATACTTTTTAGGAAAAAGAAATGGGGTGCAAAATAACCAAAGTGCAGGAAAATAAAACATCAAGTACTCAAGAATGTCGATCCCTGCCTTACAATTTAAATATAGTGCACTAGAACATTAGTACATGACACCTAAAAGTATAGTGCACTAGAACATTAGTACATGACACCTAAAAGCTAAGTGCAGTAAACTTGGAAATAGTGCAACAGTAAAATAAAATGTAGTCCCAACTGAAATGAAAATAAAATGCAGTCCCAACTAAAATGAAAATAAAATGCAGTCCCAAAATAAAATGAAAAAAGCAAAGGCATTAAACTGAAATGATGAACATCCTCATCCACAAAAATATAAGTTCTTCAAGCATATCCCATCCTCATCAACGGGAATAAGTATACACATGGTCATTGACTTCTGATTCTTCAACTTTAAGCCTCCTTGAATTTTATTTCCTGACATTTGAAGGCAAGCTTTTCCCATTGTTGAGGATTTCTCCACATGCAAGTTCTAAATTAAATTAAGAAATACAAGAAGGAAAAAGAATTAGAAATATTGAAAAGTACTCTAAGAAAATAAATCTGTGTAACAAATAATACATCTACCTTTCTCAATTTCTTCACAAAATTCCATTTCTTCAATAGTTGGTTCATGATGTAATGCAACGTGAGTACTCCTAAGCCAATTTTGTGTGCATATCAAGGCTTCAACCATTTTAGGACTCAATGAACTATGGAATGGATCAATTACTCGCCCACTAGTGCTGAAACATGACTCTGAAGCAATTGTGGACACCGGAATAGCAAGAATATCCTTTGCAATGGATGCCAAAACAGGGTATTTACAAGCCCCATTCACCCTCCACCAATTCAAGATGTCAAAACTTGAATCTTCATCACCTTCAACATCATCCGAAAGATACCTATCCACGTCATTGTTTATAATACCAGCCTTTCTTTCCTTTCTTTTTTGCTCCTTTAGTGCCAACTGTTTTTCAAGTGCAGTCATATTTGATGAAGAGCTCATATCTAAAGACATGGAAGAACCACCACTGGTAGGTTGTGATGTTTGGGAAGACAAAGGTGTATCGATCTTATAGATGCTATAGAGATCATACAAAAATGTTTTGACTTTGCTAATGCCATCTTCCACCCTAGCATCCAACTCCCCATACATCAATTCCATGTAATCACCAAGCTTTTCAAATTTATGGTGTGGGTCAAGAACCATAGCAATGAAGAAATACTCATTCACCTTATCAATATCTCCCCAGTACTTCTTATATTTCTCTTGCATAGATAATGAGATGGAAGATAACAGTGTATTTTCTGTTTCTTTCAAGAGACCTTGAATTTTAATTAAATCACCAAAAATAGTATGAACTGTTGGAGTGTTTGAGCAACATACCTTTAAGGTAACTTCATAAAAAGGTTTCAAGAAGTTGGAAAACACCTCCGCCTTACATCACTCATCATCACTTGGAGGCCCTTCCCTTGACTTTTTTTCTGGATTTTCACCATGAAAATATCCAAGATAATGACCATCATCTTCTATCAACCTATCAAAAGCTTTTCGAAACTTCAAAGCGGCTTGCAACATTAAAAATGTAGAATTCCACCTAGTAGGCACATCCATGATCACAAGTCATTTGCTCTCTATCTTGACTTTTTCCACACAACTCTTAAACATGTCTAACCTTTGGGGTGAAGATCTTGCATATCTAACCGCATTTCGAATGCTTTGAATACACTTATTAAGCAGCCCCAAACCATCATTCACAATCAAGTTCAAAATATGAGCTACACATCGCATATGCAAGTTCTTACCATTATGCAAAAGTTCATTCGAAACCCTCCAAGTACTTATTCTCTTAATCAAATCTCTCAACCCGACATCATTTGATGAAGCATTATCAACAGTAATAGTCAAAATCTTATCTTTGCCCCATTCAACCAAACACTCCTCCAAAAGTTTAGCAATAGATTCACCCTTATGATTTGGAATTACACAAAAGTTCAAAATTCTTTTATGCAACATCCAATTAGCATCAATAAAGTGAGCAGTAAGTACCATGTAATTGATGTTTTGAATGGAGGTCCATGTATCTGTGGTTAAACACACTCTATATGCACTCAAATCATTCTTTAGCTTAGTCTTTTCTGAATAAAAAAGATTAAGCACATCCTTAGCAATAGTATTCCGACTAGGTACTTTCCAACGAGGGCATGCAACTCTACAAAAATAGCGAAAACCCTCTCCTTCCACATGACTAAAAGACAATTCGTCTACAATTACCATATGCACACATGCCTTAGTGATTTCTTCTTGAGTAAATCCTATCGCTACCAAGTCTTTTGTTTTACCATAAGATAAAACTTTTTGTCTTTTACTCAACATCTCTTTATTAGGTGGGTACTCTAGGCATTTTTCCATATGATTATTCAAAGCAGTAGTACCATTATGCTTAGGGTGAGCAGCAAAACCCTTATGTTTGCAATAATTACAAAATGCTTTGATCTTACCACATTCAAACTTTCTCGAGAAATGCCCCTATATCTCTGCCCTTTCATTTTTCTTCAATGCCTCCAAGAACTCTGCTTCGGTCATTCCCCCCAAATCAATTATCTCTTTTGGATCAGAACTAGTAACTCCATCAGACTCTTCGGTTGGTACAGTTTCTTTAGATGGTAATGGTTCATCAAAGCTATCTGCCTCCTTTCACAAAAAGAAACAGAAAGTATAAATAAATTCCAAAAATAATAAAGAAAAATCACTGAATCACATAAATAAAGTTGAACAAACATGAAAATCTGAAGTTAGTATAGACATTTGCCAAAAATAATAATCACATATCAGTGAACCACATATATACATTTGAACAAACCTGAAGATGTGAAGTTTTTGCTTTCGTAGTGTTGGATGCAGTAGATCCCTTGGATGTAAGGGAAGAAAAAGCCCTCTTCATATCTTAACTTCAGTGCACAAATAATATCCAATACTGGAAAAAAAGAAAAGTAATGGAAATTAAGTTAACTTAGTTAAGTATAAAGCTTTTTCCATCACATCACAGCAACAAAAACATACATCAGCCTTCAGCATGATATCCCAAAAAGCAAAAAATTCAACTCCATAAAAAGGCCAGCCACGCAGCGGGATTACCGCCCAGGCCTTCCCTGCATATTATGCATAGTCATCTGCAAATCTCAGTCAGGACTAACCCAACTATAAAACCACACCACGAACAGTAGAATCAACCCTCTTTATAAGACGACCAAACTCAGAGAAACACGGCACGAACAACAACATCAAACACCTAAACCGACCCTTCTTTACAGAATCTGAGTAGTGAACAGTAAAAACGCGATTGACATCAGATGTATCTTTTGGGTTTCAGGCCAAGATTCATCATTCCAAAAAACAAATCCATGTTCGGAAATGTAATCTGAGATGAAATTGAACTGAAAAATATCAAAAAAACTGAGCCCAGCACTAATCGAACTAACAACCAACACAACATGAACAGTGAAAACCGCGATTCATAGAGCTGGGGGAAAATTCCCATTCCCATCTTCAATTTTACATCGAGAAGTAAAAAAGAATTAAAATTAGTAAAATACCGATTGGACAAGCTGAGCTAGAGACCTGTTGTAAACTCCAGAGAATAGAATCAATAGTTCATGTCTGCTTCACATCTTGAATCGATCTACCATGTCTTCGACGACGGCTCATTTTTTCGAGAGCTAAGCCTCTTACGTTTTAGGTTAAAAGATTATGGAGTACTACTGGACTACTGGACTCGTAAAAAGCCTCTTAACTCGTAAGCTTTCGGTCTTGAGCGTTGACCACATGACCGGCCATGGCCATATAATCCATATAAAATAAATGTTTTTTTTATATTTATAAATATTTCGGTTTTTTCGGTTTTTTCGGTTTCGGTTCGATTCAAAATCAAACATGTTCGGTTCGGTACAGTTTTTTATGTTCGGTTTCCGTTTTTTCATCGGTTCGGTTTATTTGGTCGCGGTTTGATTTGATTTGATTCGGTTTTTGGTTTTCGGCTCTACGAACCCACCCCTACCAGCAGCTTCAGGGTCCAAGGGGACAGGGAGATAACGCTCAAGAGCCGGGAGATTGCCCGCCACAAGGCCGATCATCCCCTTGGCATAAGAATCATCAGCAAGCTCCTCAAGGAAATCCCAACCCGTGGGAGTCTTCGATATGAACTCTATGCCGTCCTGCAGCATGTCAGGGCACTTGGCTAAGTACTCACCAAGATTCTGGGCGAGATGCCTCTTCGCGCGAAAGTCCACAACATCAACATAGGCTTTGGATTTTTGAAACTCAATGGATCCGGCATTCTTGATCTTGGAAACGTCGGACTCACAGACAGAAACAACCCCCTCCATGCCAACTTGGCGAAGCTGCACGTCGGTCTTCTCCACGGCGGCCATCTTGGCACGGAGTAGTTGTAGCTCCTCGGCTTGCTTCCTGACCATCTCCTGGCAAGAGGCACTCTCCTTGGCAAGGCCAAGGGCGACGTTCAGCTCTTACTGCATCTTATTCATACGCTCCTTAGCCTTCTTCGCAAGGTCCTCGGCTTCACAATGCACCTTGGTAGAGGCGCGATCTCGTGCCTCGTAGGTGAACCGCGCTTTGCAGAAGTAAATGGCAGCCTTGTTGAGAGTACTAAGGTCACACTCATGAAGGTCCATCGGGCTCTCACGGGAAGCAAAATCACGGGGAACTCTCAACCCCAAAGAACACCAGATGGAAGAGGTCGTCTGACCAAACAACTTCTTCAACTCTGCATGGGGACCAAGCTAGGAGAACTCGATGATTTCAGAGAAAGAGTCTTCAGAACCGGGCGGAGGGGGAACACGTGTCATCTTACCCGCCGAAGTAGCGGGCTGCTTCTTGCTGGGGGAGGCGGCTTCATCGTCCGACCCATCATGGACCACCACAGCCTTGGAAGACCCCTCCTCATGACGGGGCTTTTTGGGCAGCCGCTCGTCCCCAACAGGGCCTTCAACCTTGGGCCTCTTCAAGCTTGGGTCATCGCCCATGATCTGTTTCCCCTTACCCCATTGGCCCGATCTGAGGTAGGAGGGGTGCCGCCACAAGAAACCATGATGGGAGACTTGGGGAAAAGCCCTGCACAAGAAAAATATAAAAGTCAGAACGATAACTAAAAATCATGGCACGAAGGTCCAAAACCCGGGCTGCAGCGAGGACATACCTATGCCGGCCTTGTTCACATTGGTATCATTCACCGACAAACGCAGGTTTTGGACCCCCTCACTAGCAATACGTGCGGCTTGCTCCAGCTCGACCGAGCTCAGGGTCGGAGGCTCAAACTTGACCTAGAAAGCATTCCGCCGGTCAGAGAAAGGAAGAGGTGACCCAACTTCAGCGAAAAAGAACCTCTCCTCCCAGCCATTCGGACTCGGGGGATTATTGGAGAAGAGGACCCCGTTTGCCCCCTGGGAGAGAGACGAAAGAAATGAAGGAACAAATTCATAGAAAGGGTGACCTGTCTCGCCCCGGACCCACCCGGACACGTCAACAATCCGCCATACAGTACGAATAGTCAACCGCAGTTCAACACATCCATACTATACAAGGCATCTGGAATATCATCACACATAGTACATCCATAAACAAACATAATTGTAAAACATTCCTTAAAGCAGCGGAAACATTAATACAATTGTTCAAGCCACACTTGACAAACTTAGGCATACAAGCCCTCAAATAATTATTCAAAAATAATATCCATGAGCATTATTCATATTGTTTTCAAAACAGAAACGGAAGAAGCACGAACCAAGTCTTCTTCCTTTGATCTCCCCGAAGCAACGAGCGGTGGTAGCAACCTTCAAGTTCTACCTGAAACTGTGAGGTGGTCTCCCCCGTGAAGGGGATGTCAGTACTTTGAAACATTTGAAAAGTACAATGACAACTACATTGTATATAATCAATGTTTCAATTTCTAAGACCCTCAATATAGGGTGGTAGTATATTATAGGCCGTAACTCTCGGTTACCCTATTTGAAACCTACTTACCTTATATATATATAAGGTTAAATAGTCGGCCCGTGGTCCCATGCTTACCTTATCACGTCTTTTCACTATAGTAGAGTCACACTCACTGATATCTTTCCGTCGTGCTAGAGGCTGACTCTAGTCACTCCATTTCGTGCTTGAGGCTTCCTCTAGCCACTCTATGTTATGCTAGAGGCTTCCTATAGTCATCTCCCGTTGTGTAGAGGCTTCCTCTAATCACTCTTCATTATGCTAGAGGCTGACTCTAGTCATCTTACGTTGTGCTAGAGGCTTCCTCTAGTCACCTTTCAATATGCTAGAGGCTCCCTCTAGTCATATTATCAAATTCCTAAGCAACTTCTATGCCTATGACCACTTCATATTGAGTAGCCTTTAAGGCCTACTCCTAGCTTAACTTAGCATTTCACCTTCCTACCTTAAGGTATCTCATAAGACTACTTTAGGTATATCTTTCACAAAATTGAGCTCTTAAGATTTATTCTATCATTTTTCATGTTAACCTTCCGACTAGTATTTCAATATTAGTCGAATAATTTTAGATCAACCAAGTTCTTAATTCATAGTCATATTGCTCATCTCAATTTAATTTCCAATCCAAAAAAAATGATTTAACCTCAATATCAAAAATATCACTTCTATCCATTCATGATTTATTTACATGAAGTAAGAGTATATTTTATCACAATATTTCATAATTAATTCCATTATCAAGCTATCATATTCATAACACACAATCATACACAATTTCTTCCAAATTTGTATATCATGCTTCATTTACTCATATGCAATAGTATTTTCATTTAGACATTATTAATCATTAATAATCCATGAAAATCACATCTAATTCTTTAGGTAATCTTATGAAATTAACTCACTAATTATAAGCAATATAGTCGGTCATCCTCACCTCGAATGAGCTTTAAGAACTTCTACCCTTCTCGGTTGAACTCCGGTGAAAACTCCGGCGAACTCCAGCGAAACTCCGGCAAAACTCCGGCGACAGTTAGGAACACCTTAGTCAAGCTCCTAACAAGGTTTTATCATCACAAAACCCATATCAACACAAATAACCCCTAAAAGGTTATTTTTCGGCGAACCGGTCATTTTGGCTTCTAAGTCCGTTCTTGGACCTAGAACTCCCTTCCAACCCCTCATTCTACACTTCTTAACATGTAGAAAAATCCTAGGGGTCCTCCATATGATATATAGGTCATATTATAGATAAGAAAAAGAGAAAAAGTCATTATAAGGTCATTACCTTAATCTTTCGCACTTTCCCTATCTTTTTCCTTCTTGAATCTTCCTCCTTGGACCTCTATTGCTTGAACTCGAATTTGCAGATATGGAGGATGATATTTTGTGCTTCTCTCTCACTTCTTGGATGGATGAGTCGAGCTAGGTGATTGGAGGGGAGAGGAGATGCTCACTTTTGTCTCAAATGACAAATGAGTGGGGGTGGGGGTCCTCCATGCTACTTTTGATGCCAAATGCATCTCCTCCACATGTCCTTAGTCAACTACAGCCCCCTATCATTAATTTGAGCACACAAAAACGTGGGGTGGCCCCCACTCATGTTGGAGGTCATCCCTTTGTGTCCCAATCTGTACAATCGGCCCCGAAAGTTGTATTTCTTGGACTATTTTAATTATATTTTATTTTAACGGGCCAAATAAAATATATCACACGTTCCTAATAATTATAGTACTTTAGAATACATTTACATTCCCCAACTTTAATTTAGAAGTCTCCGAAATTCAATTCGGGCTGTTATCCGATAAGTTACCAATACCGATAATTGGGCCTCGTTTGACCAACGGGTCAACTCTATGCCTCTTCTATGGCCCAAATAAAATATTCACTATCATATACATATTATATAGACCAAGATGAATACAATATGGGGTTCTGGAATTATCGGGCGGTCCCCGTTCCCGGTGTGGGCCCCACGTGCAATTTACTATTCACGTAAAAGAAATAATAAAAATTTACAACTTCGCAAATTAATAATTCATCCTTCAAGGTTTATTACATAATTTACTACAAGTAAATATTTTTGGGAACGGTGTTACACGACCCCCACGCCATGGCAACGAATGATGAAGCCAACATCGGGAAAATGGGGTACTTATAGGCTTCGCCGCCGGTTTCCCCTAAACCAGGGGGACACGTGGCGAGCGATGTTTGGTACATCCTGTGGCTGACGCAACGCTTCAGGACCCATGCCATCAAGTGCACGTGTCAGGGGCCTTTTCAACGCAGCAAAAGGCCCCCCCAAAGGTTTAACATTGAGCAAAAAGGGGATCTTTATTCTTCGGCTCTACTAGCCGGAACATAAAAGTAAGCAAAAGACAAAAACAAGGAAGGGATCACTCCAGGAAACCGTGAGCAGGGGAACGTTGGGCGGAGGACTGCAGTTCCTTATCTTCCTCGTCAAGGACAATCTCGGGGTCGGGGGATCAGGAATCTCTCCCCTCTGCACGGCTTCGGCCCGTCTCTGATCCCGATAAACCTTGGCCACGACCCATCGGAGCTCCTCCTCTTTCGTGTAGTCATCCACGTTGAAGGACGGACAACCGAATTGGGGGAGGATCTGCTTATGACCCTTCACGCCTAGATAATACCCCTTTGCGAAGCTATCATCCGCGAGATCAAGCAACCATTCGGCACCGAGCGTCTTTTGCTTCAGAAGCTCCACCCCATGCTTCAGACGCTTTTTAGACGGTACGGCCTGCAGCTCGGCTTCAAAGACCTCCCCCACGGCCCCACGGTAGTAGTCATGTGCGGCCTTTAGGAAGTGGGGCGTCTTCTTGAACTCATCGATATCAAGGACCAGGGTAAGAGCGTCGCAAGGAGCGGCCTCACCTTCAGAGGACGGAACAGGGACAACAGCAGGGATAAAGGAGATCCCATGTTTTTTTGCTAAAGCCACCTTGGTGAGGAGACCTTGCTTCTCCCTTTGGGCTTTATCCCGGACGGCCCGGAGCTCCTTCTGGGTCTGGTCCAGAGCGGCCTAGAGTTTCTCCTTCTCGGCCAAAGATGCTGCCCCCCTTGCCCGCACGGCCTCCTGTTCTGCCCTCAGAGCTTCACAGCTCTCCTTTTGGTCTCGGCGGGATCCTGCTCCCAAGCAGTCTCCGCCTGCAAAAGGCTCAACACAGCCTACAAGGGGAAAACATGGAATCATAAGAGACGAATGGCAGATCGAGGTTGAAAACACAAAAAAAAGAAATATGAAAAGATAGGGCCGTACCTCGAAGGTCAGCGCCAAGGCATGATTAACTGCCTCGGCCGAGGAACGGGTTGCTAGTTTCACCTCGGTTCGAAGAGCCATATCCCTCCAGACCTCGGGAACCGGGCGACTTGCAGAGGGCACCACGGCTTCAGCGGGCTTGGGGCCAGAGGGCTCGATGCACTGCCTCTTCGGCTTTTCCCCTTGTCCTTTTCCCCACCTACGGGAGGAGCGACACCGACCGGCGCCACGTCCATAACCGGGCCAGATTCAATGGATGGGACCTCTAAGCTCTGTCCGGTCACAGCCGCGAAGAGGTGCTGCTCGTCCTCCCCAACACACCTGTCGGCTTGAGAAGTGGCGAAGGAATTGGCCTCAGAAGACGGATTGGCTTTTCGGGCCCTCGCCAACGCAGCTCATTGTTTGGCTGCCTTGGCTTCACGACGATCCAGCATAGCTTGACTTTCCATCTGCTCCGGAGTGGGAGGAGGACCTGAAACAAGAAACAAGAATATCAGAACCGGGCGGTGCAGATACCAAGGGCCCTCACCACCGGGACTGGACCGCCCGGGTCCGCGAGATAACCAAGAGCGAAGGGATCCAGGGATCACAGGCGGTACCTATCCTTGCGTCAGAAAGTGCCTGGATAGTCAAAAGTTCCTTCAACTTCTTGACGCCGTCCAGCTTCAACTTCTCGACAACGTCATTCAATTCTGGGGACAGGTCCGGTTGTTTTATCTTTGGAGGATATCCATTCCATCTCACGGGAAGCCACTCGTCCGAATAAGGGAGGAAGAAGAAGTGATTCTTCCAATCATGAATGGAGGTGGGGGCGCCCTCACATAGCTTAGATGGGGACGTGCGGCCACACTCAAGAATCCGTCGGCGTTTTGAGGAGCGACTTGGAAGAAATGGTGGAAGAGGTCCAGACTCGGGGCGAATCCTTTCAATTTACAACGGACGATAAAGGCAGAAATAAGCCGATAGGAATTCGGCATGAACTGGGTCCGAACAACGTTGAAACAACAGAAGAAATCAAGGTAGAACTGATGAAGGGGAAAGCGCAGTCCAGCCTTTATGGAGTCCATGTGCACCATAACCATCCCCGGGCATCTTCTAAAGAGATTGTTCGCGCCACGGAGGCTATAGTAGAACAGCGGAGGAAGGAGGGTCTGCAGCTCCTTGAGGGCCCTACCTGAGAAGACCTGATCGATCACGGCAACGTCGGGGATAAGCACAATGTGTCAGGGAAGGTCCACAGGAACGCCAAGGCTGAACACCTGCAGATCATCCCCATCCTCGGCCTCGTCACCAGAATCATAGTCGGCATGATGCTCCATCTCCACACCTAGTTGAGCTACCGCCATCGGGGCGTCTTCAGGAGCCACTACCATGCCAGCGTCCCCTTCCGCACCTTTGGGGACAGCTTCATCCGCCGCCACATGTCCCACTACAGAGAAGGTGCTGGAATGGCCGGAGCTACCTACCCCCTCTAAAGAACGGGACCTAGAGTCCGTAGCAGAAGAAGAACCGGCGGAAGAACCGGTGGAAGAACTAGAACCGGAATCCGATTCAGAGGATACTTCCATGGAGCAGGCCATGGGGAGGAGTTGCGAGAAGTAGAGAAGGGGGTTAAAACCAAACAATTACCTTAAAAACATAGAAACGAAGACGGGCTAGGGAACCGGAAGACACTTTTAGAAGACCGCCGGAACTCTCGATGAAGGAAGCGGAGGATTGAAAACCCTAATCTCTCCATCAGTCCCGGTATTTATAAGAGGGTTCGCCTCTATATTGACCAATCCACATGTGACACGTGGCGAGGAGCATACCCAGGGACATGTGCCGCGTGGAAACGAACAGGCGCGAAATGATTAACTTTTCATCGGAAGTTGAACCGGCCTGCATAACTGTCACCTAGAGCCCCACGAACAACAGCCGGAGAAGCAGCCGTCACGTCAGGAACTTCAGGTTGGGGCGATACGGCGGAAGCATTTTAC